CCTCTTGGTCTAAGTCTTCTGGGTTAAAGAGGAAGGTGGTTTGGGTGTTAAAAACATGGTTGATATGGCCAAGGCCTTCTCTTATAATCTTTGATTCTCTTTTAGGACCAAGAAAGTTTGAGGGCTAAATTTCTGACTGCTAAATACTGCGTTAGTAGACACCCCCTCACTTTTCTATTTACATATGGGAACTCTTATATTTGGAAAAGGCTTTGTTCCATTAAGTGGGTGGATAAGAACTTTATTCAATGGGGTATAGAGGCTGTTAACATTTTTTTTAGCAAGATAAGTGGTTGGGAAAAACTTCTATTGATAGCTTATTGAATGTCCATTCCACTTATGCTTGTAAAGTTAATTACTTTGTTTATGTGGGTGTTTGGAATTTGTATTTACTTGCTGCTACTATCCCTTAGATTATTATGTATCTTATTCTCAAGATTCCTATTCAATTGGACAAGGAGGATTGCATTATTTTCAGTCATGATAATGATGTTAAGTGCCTTAAAACAAGTTTGGAAATTTATTAGGCAATCTTATCCTAATTTTTTATTGTATTCTACTATTTGGTATCATGCTATTCCTTCCTCTTATTTTATTCTTGTATGGAGGATCTTGCATAATTACCTACCTTTTGATTCCATTTTAAGGAAAAGGTTTTTATTTGGTTTCTAAATATCAATGTTGTATTCACTTTGAAAACTTTAACCATGTTTTTATCAATGGTCTATCTCCCTTCAAGTTTGGTTATATCTTGACAATATATTTAATGCTCAATTTTATAATAATTATAATCTATTCATCACATTTTAAAAGCTTGGTTCATTCCTTCTAAAGGTCATATCCGTAATGTTCTTCCAGTCATTATTTGTTGGTTTCTTTGGTGGAACAAAAATGAAGCTATGCAGGAGAATATTTGTATGAATGCTACAAGTATTACTAGAAAATTTAAGGAAAATGTCATGCAGATGTTTGTTGCTAATTTGATCAAGCTTAACATTTTTAAAGGTTATTATCAGGTTGCTTATGCTTTTGGTATTACTTTCAATTTTACTTCCCCCATTATTGATGAGAGAATTATGAGATGGGTAAATCTAATCTTGATTGGTTTAAACTTAACACTGATGGTTCTTTTAACAACACTAATGTGGGTTGTGCGGTCCATATTCTGGACTTCAATGGCTTGGTTATTGTTGGTTTTGTGGGTCCTAGTAATTCTACTAATGTTGTTATGGCTAAAATTCAAGCTCTTCTTTAAGGTTTTTAGGTGTGCATTTCCTTAGTTTGTATTGAAGTTGAAGCTATATTGCTTATTATATTAAGGATAATAAGTGGTCCAACCCTTCTAATTTTTATATGATTAGAGAAATAAAATAATAGTTGTCCCTTATTTCTTTTTCTATTTCTCACATTATGCATGAAGGGAATGCTGTGGCTGATTATCTTATGAAGATTGGTTGTAATTTTCCTAATTTTACTGAATTTGTTGAAGCTAATTTACCTCATAAGTTGAGAGGACTAGTAAGGTATTATCAGTTTGTGCTGCCTTATATTTGAGTTTCCTAGATATATTTATTTTTTGCGGGTTCTTATGGCTGAGTTCATCATGTGCTAGCCCTTTCTGTTTATGGGCTTATTCTTTTTTTTTTTTTTTTATGGATTATTGGTTTATGGTATGAGCATTTTTTCTGGTCAGTTTTTTCTCAATTTTTCCTGTTATGTAATGGTGTATATACTCAGACTCTTTATTCAACTTTAGATTACTACTGTCTTTTCTATTTATGTTCTTAGATTAAGACTTGGTTTTTTGGTTCTATATATTCATGCTACTGGTTTATGTATGAGTTGTTGTTTCTGATATGTTATTATTATCCTTTTGTAGGTAGATCTTTTCATGCAAAATGTTATTGGAATAATTAATGTTGTTATATTATTGATGTTTTCCTGTGTTCTACTTATGGGTGTACTTTTATTAGTTGTGTGGTTTGGAGTATATATTCCATGCATATTTATTGGTGTATGCAGCGGGTTCAGAAATTTCTTGTGGACATTCATTATTGGGATATTTACATTACTTACTCATCTGTTTATTTCTTATCTAATATCTATTTTATGATTTCTTTAGATTGTTCTTACATTATTTGTAACTTTTTGGTCCACCTGCTTTGTAATTTCTTTTTGCAAGTTATTTATGAATTCTCTTTTATCGTGCAAGCTAATTTTTTGGGCTTCATGATTGAGTTGACAATATTTGTGGATAATTCTCATCTTTTTCTATAGGGCTCTTTATTGGGTGGAACATCGAGTTGAATGAATATACTTTTTCATTTCCTTTTTGGGTTTTGGCCTCTAGCCATCCTAGAATGTTTATATGATTTATTGTAGTTGTGCTTAGTGGGGAACTCTGGCTCATATATATATTTTTTGACCTTTTTGTAACTCTTTTGAGTAATAGGGAGTTGTTGGTCCCCTTAAGGACCTTGTATTTTTTTTTGTGTTATTAACACGTAGGTCCATTATAGGGTTAAAAAAACTTAATTTAAACCTAAGGGTTAATTAATGACCCTTGAATTTGAATTAAGGAAAACATGCCCTTAAATAATTCAAATAGAGAGATAGAACTTTGGACGTGTTAGAGATATACAAAAAATTCATTTCCCAAGGTCCCATGCTATGGTGAGTTCAATCCTAAGAGAAATCACAATAATACCCCAAGGATAATTACTATAATTAACTAAATTACATGCAAAATAAAAGCTTGTGACCATAGGGCTTTTGTAGTTATCCTCAAGACATTTCCAATGATCATAGGAACATTTAATTTGTTTTTTTTTTTTTTGAAAAGAAAGTCGAAGCTTGCATATATTAAAAAAAAACAAAGATACAACTAAATGGTTGATTCCTCCTTCAAAATCTCAAAGAAAGAAGGAGGAACCTCATTCAAAGAGACATTGTCCCAAGAGAAGCTATTAAAAAGATCTAAGTTAGCACAATAATTAGCTAACTTATTGCTATCTATACTAATACAATTGAAAATAGCAAAATTAAAATCATTGAGAAAATCAAGATCTTCATCAATGGTGTTACATTTTTTCCAAATCTTTTGCATAAAAGAAATGATGTTGGAGTTGACACCTTCAATTATGATTCCTTGGTACTTGAACATCCAATCCTTGATTTCTTTCTTCAAAGAGTGAATTGCAAGAATCTCCATTTTTGCAATATCCCAATGAATACAATTAATACCAAAAGCATATAAAAATCTGCCTTTACAATCTCTAAAGACTCCCGCTATGCCTGCTTTATATGTAGGTAGAAGAGAAGCATCTACATTAACTTTAAGCCATTCAGGTGGAGGGGGTTGCCAAGAATTAAACAATCTATTCGATTGATTGACATCCCAGTTGCCCAATGAGAAATGACTATAGTTTCAGTACATTCCAGCTGCCATTTTGGATAAATTCTTTGACATAAACAGCTTCTTCATCATGTGATACCACAAATGTAGGCCAACGGTTGATGCATTTATCCAACATCCAAACATCTTTATATACATCAACATCCTCACCATTTACCAATGTCCATCTAACAATTGGTTTGAACATTTTACAGCCATCATTCAATAATTTCCAGGATGATGAACAATTAACTCTATTGTTCCCCATTTTCAGTTTTTCATCATATTTGGCAGCAAACACTTCATGCAAAATTGATTTTTTGTCTTGAAAGAACCTCCAAGCCAGTCTTGATCTTAAAGCATTCTTCTTAGCAGCACATGAAAACAATCCTCTTCCACCTTTGTTTACAGGTTTGCACATATCCTCCCAGTTAACATAATGAATACCCGAAGATCCATCAGATTTTCTCCAAACAAAATTCGTGCAAATTTTGTCTAATTCGTCCAGAATTCTTTTAGGTACTAATGAATGAGTACTGTAGAATGTCGGTAAAGAAAGCATAACAGTCTTTACTAATGTGACTTTGCCAGCAACCAAAAGGATTTTGCTTCCCCAAATGCTAAGAAGCTTCATTGTTTTATCAATGATGAATTGGAAGTCATCATAAGAAAGTCTTCTTAATGCCATCTTTATCCCCAAGTAGTTGAATTCTTTGACAGATTTGAAGCTCATTATTTTTTCAATGCTTTTCTTCTTCCTTCTTTCAACATGTTTCCCAAACAACATGGAAGACTTACTTAAGTTCACCCATTGGACTGTCCAATTGCAAAAATCATAAAGTATCTTCTTCACCGTCTTAACTGCATTTCTATTGGCTTCAGAAAACATCATCACATCATCAGCAAATAATAAATGTGATATTCTTGGACCATTGTAATTAGTTCTAATTCCACAAGAACTTTGAGCAAAAGTGTTAGAAAGAAGTTGTACACAAAGAATAAAGAGAGTAGGAGATAGAGGACATCCTTGTCTAAAACCACTCTTAGCTTGAATCCAACTAGAGTATCTACCATTGATAATCATTGCAAACTTTGGATCTTCCACACATTCCATGACTAGATTAGAAATTTTTGGAGGGAAATTGAAATATTCCAATACATTTCTAAGAGAATTCCAAGACATTGAATCATAAGCTTGTTCCATGTCTACTTTGAATGAAACCATACCTTTAGTTGCTTTGGATATTCTAAATTTGTGGAAGACTTCTTGAGCAATCAGCACGTGATCAGATAATGATCTTGCTAGAATAAAAGCTGTTTGCTCTCTTGAAATAAGCTTAGGAATAACCTCACTAAGCCTATTCAATAACACTCTAGCTTTGTAAACCGAATTATAAAGACTAATAGGTCTATAATTAGAAGGTAAAAGAGGATTTGATACCTTTGGAATTAGAACAATAAGAGTCTCCTTCCAATCTTCATTCAGTACACCATTGCTAAAGAAATGATTGAGAACATTCCAGAAATCTTCTTTTATTATATTCCAATAAACCTTGATGAATGAATAAGTAATGCCATCTTTGCCCGGTGAGATGTTACTTCCCAATTATTTCAGCACTCTCTCCACTTCTTCCACAGAAAAATCTGCTTCCAGTTGACTTCTATCAGATTCGTTCAAACGAGCATTTGCCTCAGGCCACCCATGAAGGATGCAGTTCTTAGCTTCCCATTTCTTACCAAAATAATTGAAGAAAGTTTCTTCAATCAGATTTTGCTCTTCCACCACTTTACCAAATTCATCTTTAATTTTTATAATTTTATTTGAATTCCTCCTTGCACTAGCATAAGCATGAAAAAACTTTGAATTATTATCACCATCCACAAGCCACTTCACTTTGGCTCTTTGCTTCCACCAATCATTCAATCTCGCTATTATGGAATTCACCTCATTAACTTTGTTTTTTAGATTCCAGTAATCTATTTCTGAGAGAATTCCTTCAGATGCTTCTTTATTTTGAAGCTCCAAGATTTCCACCATAAGCTCCTCTTTTAGATTGTTAAGATCCTTATGTTTGGCCTTGCTCCAATAGAAAAGTGATTTCAAAGATTTTTGAAATTTCTTGATAAGCACTTGAGAACTATCACCTTCATAATTTCTATTCCATTCTTTCTTCACCACCGCAAAAGAGGCTTTATAAGAAACCCAACAATCTTCAAACTTGATATTCCTTTTGACTCTAGGGAAATAATCAAGAATATTTAAAATAATTGGACAATGATCCGAGGCTATTCTAGCCAAATGTCTAATCACCAATCGTTGAGAGGAACTCAAAGCTTTAGAGTTTATAAAGCACCTATCAAGTCTTTCAAGAATTCTAGCTCCACCACTTTTATTATTACACTAAGTGTATTTAGGGCCTATAAAACCCACTTCATGAAGATCATTTTCCATTAAGCAATTTTTCATATCTCTTGGTCCTTGGGAGAAAAGAAATTTCCTACCACCAATTTTGTCTTCCTTAGCCAAAATACAGTTGAAATCACCACCTATTGCCATAGGTATTTCTTCATCTGAATGTTTGTTCAACATTTCCCATAATTCCTTTCTTTTATGCACATCAATGCTGCCATACACTGTTGCTATCCTCCAAAGACATTTATTATGTACCTTCAAATCACCAATGACCACTTGAGAAGAGTAGTTAATAACTGATAACTCAGCAACTTTGTTCTTCCAAAGAATCACCATTCCACCAGATAAACCACAAGATGGAACATAAAAAAATCCCATTCATCACCTATCAATAGATTAATTTCCATTCTATCTATTAAATTTATTTTGGTTTCAATCAAACCCATAAAATAAACATCATGTAATTTAACAAATTCCTTAAGATATAGAGAAGCACTCTTCTTCCTTGCACCTCTACAATTCCAAAACGCAATGGAATACATTAAATGGGGTTAGGGGGATTCCTCCCCATGTTACCTTTCCCTTCAAGCTCCAATCTCCTAGATCTGGTAGATGAATTAATAGGTCCCAAGCTCCTTAGCTGCTTAGAAAGCTTCTTCTTTGTTGAGTGAGAATAGTCATCCTTTCCTTCACTTCCATTATTCAAAGAATTTCCATCTCCCGGGAAGTCAGCTTCTGTACATCTCTGGATATCATTCACTGCTGTATCTTCATTATTAATAACAGTTTTGATCACTTTATCATCTACTTCTTTAACAGGTACAATCTCCCCTTCTTCTACAAGATCAATAAGGGCTCTAAAACTGTTTCCATCATTAATGATCTGGGAATCTCTGGTTAACAGCACTGCTAAATTATCTTGAGCTGAAATATCTTCCTCACTGCAGAAAGTTTGTTGCTTTTATGTTTCCAGATTCACAACATTATCTTTCACCAAGTTTTCTCCTCCTTTTCCATCATTCTTCTTCACTGGAACAAACAATTTCTTATTTTCCTGCCGTTGAGATTGCTTCCTTTGATAATTACCATAATTCACCAACATCCACGGTCCATACTCTTCTTTGTCTAGTCCTTCCACCATTTCTAAAGACTGATTGTTATCAACCAATTATTACCAATTGGTATGTCCAGGTTTTCCTTCTCAGGCTGCACATTCTTTAGTTTGGTCTCCATAATAGACTTGGTACAATTGTTTTTGCTATGTCCAATCTTCCCGCAAACATAGCATAAGCTAGGAATCCTCTCATACTCTATCTTTTGATAGAATTTATCATTAGCTCCTTCTACCCAAACACCAGTAGGTAGTTTAGCATCTAGCTCAATTCGTACACAAATTCTTCCAAATTCTCTCCTTGACTATTGAAACATGTTTCCATCGATCAAGTAAGGCCTGCCAACCATAGATGCTATACGGCAAATGTTGATTTCGTCCCAAAAATGTAGTGGGAGGTTTGGAAGTCTAATCCAAATAGGAGCTGTAAGTCCTTTAAGAGAATTTGGATTAAAACTTTGAGTCCTCCTATCAATTCCCACAATATTTCCATTTACAAACCAAGGCCCATTGGTTAACACTGCTTCCACATGGCTGGGGTCATAGAATGAGCTTAAAATCCATCCTCTCCCAAGCAATGTAATATGAAATTTTCCAAAAACTGACCACTGCTTCCTCAGCTCAAAACTGATTAAAGAAAATGGGATTTCATCACCAAATACTTTAACTACTAATGAATTTAGTAGCTTATTTGAATTTTCCACCACTTTCTGCTCATGGAGCTTAATTGTTTTTCCATCTTCTGATAAGAAGTTCCCGAAATCCAGTTCATCAACTCAGATGTTTTGTTTCTTTTCCCAAGCATTAAAATGATTCCCACCAATTGGTCTTTCAGACATTTCCACATTCATATTGAAGCTTCCAGCTAATTCTCCATTGTTGCATTTCCAAATTTCATTCAATTTAGAAATTTTAATACATCCAGATGCAGAACTTCTTACTCCATTATCACCAGCTTTCTTAGAAACATTTGCCATTTTTCCCAGATTGTCATCCTTCTCATTATGAACCGAACTTCTCTCCTCTGTTTCAACTGATTGATTTGCATCCTTCTTCAATAGATTTGCAGGGAATTTAACAGCACCTTCAAAACATTGCATAGCCACCCCATTGGAACATAAAACTTCAGTATTTCCTTCATGCAAGATATCTTTACCCTTTCCAACCACATCGGGTTCCTTCTTTTTAATTAGTAATCCACCCTCATTAATAACCAAGGGCTTGTTCATTCTGACGTTAGCTATGTTGAAGGAAATTCTTCCATCTCCGAAAGCTGGAGGAGACATCGAGGCTCCAAGAACAACACCGAGCTTTGATCATCCAGATGGTCGATGATCCTCAGAAGGTATGCCGGCCATAGATGGCCGGCGACCATTGCTTGCCATAGTAAATCCGCGAATCCCGCGATTTAAAATTTCAAAATTTCTTTTTCAAAAACCCAGAATCTCTCTCTCTTCTTTCTTTCTCTAGCAAACGACTCACATCACATGAAGGAAATTAATTTGGTTAAGATCATGAGGAGATACTATTTTTAGAAATTCCCTGCAATTTTTAGAATTTTAAATAGGGAATTACCCTGTCGGCCATGTGCTTTCAATGTAGAACCCTTCGATTGGTTAGAGTTAATCATAGCCTTTCGATACATAATACTCATTGTTTAAAGTGGCCAATGACAAAGGGATCTAATAAAAATTGTTGATTGGTATCAACGGCTCTCATTACTTCTTTAACCTCACACACATCTCTGTAGTTGTGAAGCTTCTCCAATGTGAAACAGGAGATCTCTCCCATTTAACTTCATGAAACTTTATAGGGAGCATTAGAGGGTTGTATATCTTCAATCCAATAGTGAAAATCTATTGGTTTGAGGGTTTTCATAATGCTTGACCGGACTACCTAAATAGGGAGATCGAGAGTAGGATTTTACCTCAGTGAAAGCTCCAACTAATGTGGTTATGTATCAGGAAGCTTGTGGGGATGATGATGAATATATTTTGTTTAGAATACATAGACAAAGGATCCCTGAAAGTAGGACTATGAGTAGAGGATGAAAGAAGTTCATCGAAGTTTGCTTGAACTGACACCTGGAAAGGGCTGCAGAGTGGGAGATGCAGAGGAAGTGCTCAAAGAAATAAGGGTTTTGGTTTTGAAATACTTTGATTAAATGAGGCACTTTAGATTGGAGTATCCTATTCAATCCTATGCCATTGCAATGGATGACTGGGATTGATTTACCAAGCTGTTAGATGCACACCAACTGGAAGGGCATAGCCTGGGAAAGCTCTTTGAGCTGGATGGATGCGGGCTCAGGTCTTGTGGAAGTCTTTGGAAATGGATCATGAATAAGAGACCATAGAAGCTCATTTCCATTTGCTCAAGCTTCCATTGGCTACTACTTGGATTAGGCCGAGGTGGAAAGGTTACTGGGACTCTGGTGAGCCCAAAGGTGAGCTCAATTTGGCATGAGAAGACCTAATTCTTGATGGTGGCTCGGGTTGGCCCAAATTTGGATGTTTATGTTAGTTTGGGTGCAACCGTAGTCAAGCCAGGTAATGGGCTGACCAGGTAGGTTTGTTGGGTCAAGGGCTATTTAATGTGATAGAAATTAGGCTTGGTTTGATCTGTGGTGGAAGTTAGCTCAATAACCTATGTACATTGGGTTGTAGTGAAATTGAAGATGTCAACCATGTTTCTACTAGTTGCTGTAAGCTGCTGAAGTTTATTGAAATTCTGAGAAGCTGGGGATTTCAGATTCCTGTTTATAGAAATTGGGAGGACTGCTTGACTGGTCTTATGACATTGAAGAATTCTAACTTGTTGTTGGTAAGGATCTATCTCACACTTATATGGTTTGTTTGGAACAGTAGAAATAAAAGGAAGCATGGGAAACCCGAAGACAACAACGTGATGATCGCTGCATCTACTCTAGGTTTTCTTGGATCTACTAAATTTAGTTTTCCCATTTTGGTTCACTGGGTTGCTAATCAGTCCGTTTGACTGTGTATAGATAAATGGAAACCTCCTCCACCCGAGTGGGTTAAAATAAACTTTGATGCTTCCTTAAAAGGTAATTATGTAGAAGGTATTGGTGGTATTGCGAGAGATTGCAAAGGAAGATTTATTTTAGCTTTTGGAAAAGGAAAAGTGCATTGGGACATTGCTCAACTTGAGCTCTTGGCTTTTTCAGCTCTCAAAGAAGTCTTACATGGTTGACTTCTTGATGTTCAAGGCATTATTGTGGAAGGTGATAATAAGAATGTTCTCCTTTTTCTTCAAAAACTATATAGCTTACCAAAGAAGAAGGTTTGGAGCTTGGAGGAAGAAGATTTATCTTTCTATAGTGAGTTCAATAATGTTTTCTTTCATTGGGTCAATCATAAATGTAATAAGTTAGCTGATTACTGTGTGAACTTAGCTTGTTCTTATGATATTTTTTTGGGACTTTTTTGATGAGAGCAATCTTCCTTCTTCTTTTATTGAGAAAGTAAAAGAAGAATGTGAAAGTTTAGCTTTCACATATTATATTGTAACTAGGTTTCTTTTATTTTTATGCAATTTTGCATCCTTCAAAAAAAAAAAGCACAAAGTAAAAATAATAGAAAAAGAATGCCCCAATAAGAAAACACCAAAATCCTAGAAGCCACACAAGGACAACACCAAAAAAGATAATCACAAAATGAAAAATAACAACAGATTATTACCATAGGAACCAACAAAAGCCATCGGAGTGATGCTCCAGAAGGAAACCAACATCAAATGCTCAGAACCATCAAGAAAAATCAGAAAGGAACTCACCAAGCAGCACAATAGGCTGGCACCCATAGCAAAACAAAACATCAAAAGGGAGACACACAAAGGGGCTAACTGCCAGCAAACCAAACAAGAAAAAAACACCCAAGCCAAAGCAGAAAAGCCCCATAAACACAAGAAAAACAAGAAAATTAAAACCTGGCATACGGGATACCGATTTTCTCTAATCTTAATTGCCCTTTTAAAGGGCTAGGTAAATTAGCAGCCATAAAATAAGTGAAGCAAGCCAACTCACTCCAAAAATTGGCAAGCCAATTAGCACAAGCATTACCCTCACTAAAAACATGAGAGAGGGACACATTAATAAAGATCATAAACTGTTTAACATCCCTAACAAGATAAAAGACTATAGGATTACAAATCAAATCATCAATATTATTTAAGCATTGAATACTATAATTAGAGTGAACTTCATTCCCAATGTTAGTAATATCAAGAGACATACATAATCTCAGCC